GGGTGATCTCTTGGACAAATCACCCCTTAGGTCGCCACGATAGGGTCAACACACAAAGGGAGGGGCAAGGGGAAACTAGAGGTTCTCCCCGTGGACCGACCCGTGACGAGATCCTACGCCCGGGCCCATAACAGAGACCATGATAGCTACTCTAGCCAAAGAATCATCAATCACCAGACATTATAATCATACACTTTTTGAATCAATACTTTTAAAGTAAAAATTGGATAATAGAAGATTAGGAGTAGAACTGAAAGGTGAATGGACCAGTGGTACAGGCCTAGGTTAGCTCACCAACATTGCTTGATCTACCACACTCTAGATCCTTGTTTCTACACTAAACCAATTCTATTAGAATTAGACTAGATAGATGGGTCATGGGTTGAACATTCCAACCATCTGGTTAACTACTCAACTTGTTCAAATAAAATTGTGAAAATATAAAATGTAAAAAACAATTTATGTCAAAATAAACTAAAAACAATATATGCTGAACGGTATATAATACATGTGATCCCAATGCAAATGGGGTAATTAAGCTTGAACAAGTTGACATTTATAAGAACTGAGAAAGCCAAAAAAAAAACCATTTTACTTGCGCTTCTTGGTTCTAGTGGTCAGACCATCTAGTCTGATCGAAAATTGACAGTATTGGATTAAACCAGTTAAGAGTACAACACATTAGTTGTAGATTTTAGGGGGAAACAAGTAGTCTTTCAAATATTGTCTTAATTAAGAGATATGAGGAGATTGTCATTGATGATGACTCCCCACTCTCCCCTTTAAAATTCACCAAATGCATCCATTCCTCAAGTCTGCTTCTTAGTAAAAGGTTTAACAAGCTCTATATCTAGTTATTTCACCTCAATCAAGCCTTTCTCCAACTCCCATTGTTGATTGGCTTGTTGAATATCCAGTCATTTCTCTTGTGAACTTGGACACTCTAGTCCAAAATCTAATCCAATTTTTGGGAGAAACTTTTTTGTTGCTAAATCATGAATCACATTAAAACATAATGCATTCTTTCAATATCTAGCTTTTCTCTTCCTTGTGGTGGAAGGCTCCATGGTATATCAGTTATATTAATATTCTTATTTAAGTTGATACCACCACAGACCAACTCCTAGACATATCATAAGTAGAAAAAGAAGCAAATTCTCTTCATCGAATTAAGAACTTTAATTTCAATTAGATCAATTAGTGACTATAACTACATTAAATTGAACTCTGATGTAAGCAGCTTGGGAAACCCAGGCCCCTAAAGGATTGGTAGTGTTTCTAGGAATAGCCATGGAGAATTATGGCCGTGTTCTCTAGGCCTTTTTTTACACTTGATATGCTTGATGAAACAATATTGATGACATCAATGGCTCTCCAATTTCAGTGTGTCAACAGATCAGCAAATGCAATGGCTGATTCTCTCGCCAAGCAAGGGGTGTCAAGGGGAGATCTGTTTTGAGCTACTTTGTAATTGTATTTCAGGCTTGTGTATGTTTAGTGTATGTATATGGTTCAGTCCTCGAGGGAGGTAACATCTCGTGCCTCCTCCTAGGCTGATTGTACTTTCATTATTTGAATTAATAAAACCACTCTCACATCAATGGCTTTCCAAAGACAAAACAGAAACACCCTAGTCACCTCCTCCAAATCCCAACCACTCCAAACCTATTTTTACATTTATTAGATTGTTTGGACAAAAAGCCAAAAGCATTACCAGTTAAACCAAGGCAAGCAGGGACATGTTTGTAGTGCAATTTCATTTAAATCAATATAAATGCATGGGTGCAAATTAGAATTACAAATTTTCATTTATTTGTACTTCAAAATTTACTTTTTTTCTTCACCATTTATTTTACTTCCCATCCACACCAAACAAACAACATTAAACAAAATAAAACCCACAAAATAATTAAATGAAAAGAATCAGTATGTGATGATGGTTATGTCATGTGTGTGGAGTCATTGGGAATTGGAGTGGGGGAGACAAAAGAAACAGAGGAATGATAGAAATGGACCTCAGCAGCCATGGGCTTGTGGCGTTTGCACTGCACAAGCACAATTAAGTGTAAGATAAAAAGATTGAAAAAAGGAAGAAAGGATAATTGGATAAGTAAAGCAAGAATTGAGAGTTGAGAGTTGCCAAATCTCTTGACCCTCTAAAACTGGATTAATTTCATCTCTCAAATGGCCCAGATAGCATTAACTCCCACAGTCCACAACTTGTACAAAAAGTAAGAAATTTGTACTGGGGATCATTGTAATATGAAAAGAATAAACATTAGAAATTTGATGATCAAAGGATGTCTCCAACCAGAATACGAATAGGATTAACAAATCCTATTTTTTGGAAGTAAAATGTTGCCATGGATTTAAGGAGATGAACATAAAAAATGAGTTAAATGCCCATCGATTTAGATACATTCAGAAGTATCTAAATGTCCAACCATCGTATATCCATAACATGATTGACAAATCAAGTCATTATAGACAAAGATTCATCTAATTAAATCCAAAAAAAATGGGATCCCATAATGATTGCTTCTATGCCTACATTGTGGAAATAAAAAATGGCCATACCTGTGAATCCTCTTTACCATTGGCTATGAAAACCTTAGACACAACAGAAGAACCAGGCCAGGTGAAAATCCTACAGAACAAAAACGAAGAGGTAAGGAGATTATGAAAAGAAAATCCCATACAGAATAGGAAAAATGAAATGCTACAACAAACACTTAGAAAAAAAAAATATAGGAGATTTGAAATAATAGGAGGATAAATCGGTTACCTAGTGGCCAAAGCCAAGAATAGATCAATCAAGCGTAACCAAACATTGACAATGGCTGTTGGTGATTATCACTCATTTACTGGTGCAAAAGCCATCACGGTAGTATCATTTCTGAGACATGGCTTTGCTGACCTGACAGAGATGACCTTCCTCGAGTTCGGAATGCTGTTTCCAACAGGGTTCTCAAAAGAACTATATTAGAAAATCAATTACAAAGCTGATCTCAAAATGAGGTAACAAAGAACCCAAAAACGAAATAGGAAACTCTAATCCAATTTTTTAGGGAAAAAAATTATTAAAAGAAAACAATAACAAGGACAAAAGAAGGGCACAAGATTATCAGCCCAACACAAGCAAACAAGTCGACAAGGCAAGGACAATAATTGAAGAACCTAAGCACTCCGATAATCAGTCCAACGACTCCAACCATGCACTCCGATAACCCTAAAGAAACCCCAGAACCAAAGGTCCCAAACGAAGAACTTAAGCACAATAATTGCTAAAATAAATCAAAAGGAAAAGAGGCTTGTAATATCTTAAACAAACCCCAAAAATCCAAACTAACAAATTTTCTACAAAAATGAACAACAACCATACGCAGAAGCAAAAATAAATCAATAGAGCTTAAAAGGAAGCAAATATAGAGAGCAAGCATAGGTTTGAAAAAAAAAATAATCGGCAATTAATGGGTCTTCTAAGAAGATAAGAAGGAATACATGAATCGAAATTAAACTAACCAGCTCCAAGCATGAGAGAGCTCATCCATTATAGAAGATACGACACAGCCAAACTCAAGCATCTAGATTGCAAGAGATTAAAACAAATAAAAATATTCTAACAAAAGACGAGATTTGACGAAGGAGAGAACACAATAGTTTTAAGCAAAGAAATTAGGGTTCTATCGTGGTGGCTTCCGCTGAATAGTTCTTGGTAGACTAGCAGGAGAAGGAGACATGGGTTAGAGAAGAATGGGTGCGAAATGAAATTGGTATCCGCGCGCCATTTTTGTTGTATAATTTCTCTTTAGTGAAGTTAAATCTAAACCATTGATGTTGAAGTGAAATAAATGGTTAAAATAAATTGCTGATATAGTGGCGTTTAAAGGTGATTTAATGGCAATTTAATAAATGCCACTTAAAATTATATATTTAGCGGCAATTTAAATATATTTTTAATGGCATTTCAATAACTGCCACTTAAAATATATATATAATGGCGTTTCTGATATGAATATAATGGCATTCTCAATAAACGCCATTAAAGAAAATATATAGTGGCGATAAAATAAATGTCACTAAGAAAAACGCCATTAAAGCCTCACTTTCTTCTTGTAGTAATTCGATGTAGTAATTACTGATTAATAAGAAAGTCTCACTTAGAGAGTTAATAACTTATCAAATCCACCGCTGACATTTCTGAGCATCACAACTCAACACAGTAAAAGGGAAAAACAGTGGTGAAGTCTGGGTTTGAAACTTTTAAAAGTTCTATCAACCTCAAGTGAAGAGAAAAACAGAGTCACACAACAACGTTCTCACATTCTTAGAGATGTCATCTTGAACAACTATGGATGAAACAGGTGCCTTATTTCATTTTGCGTGGCAATTGAGGGAGGGGAAGAGATGATATATATCCATGTGCAGAACACTGAATTGGAGGCTGCTAGAAAGGTTGTAGAGGAGATAGATTTGCATTCCATGGCTTGAACCTTCAGTCTTCTCTACAAATGCCAGAAATGGAGGTGGAGAAAGCCGAAGACTGATGGTGTTCTTTTTGTTGTGTTGAACCCTAACCTAAACGATGATCCAAGCTTTCAATACACCTGACGCTCTAGCTCCCTTATTTTGTCACACGTACTCTTGCCCTCTTATTTGGTCCCCAAGGTAAAAGGTGTTTTTCGCCTACTGAGTGATGTATCAGTTGGTACGTTAGAATGGTGATATTCAATTCCCAAAAACCCACAACCACCGAATTTAGAGGGGGGTTATTAATATGGTGCGTATCAGCAAATACCAAAAAAACATGTACAAGATGTTTTTGATTGTAAGACCGCTGAGGTTGTGTTTGGTGCAATTTTATTAGCACTAATAAAAAGGCATGGGAGTGCAAATGAAAAAAATATAAATTCTCGTTTAATTTTATTTTGTTTTGTTTTATGTCTTAATTTACTTCATTTGTATTGTAATCGAACAAAATAAATTAATTTTTAAAACAAAAATAAGTCAAAATTTACATTCAAATCATTTTGTACTGTCATAATTTTGTATCAGTGCAAATTTATTTGCATTACAACCAAACACAGCCTAGACTAACAAAATCATTCTACAATACCATGTTATTGTGATCTACGATATCACCTCAATGTGATCTGCAATAGAAGCCTAATATATGCAACCAAGTGACTTGCGATACTAGATACTTGCGACAAGCACCAAATTGTGATATTCAACGGCAATTACCTCAACTACAACTGCACTACTAGACTAACAGGCTTATTGCCATTTTCAACTAAGAAAAAAAAAAAAAAACTCTGTTAATAATATTAAAAAACCTATATTAACTTATTATCTTGTTAAATAAAAAAAATTGTGTATTACAGTATTAGTATACTGTACTTTGGGTCTAATGTCACTTTAATCTTAAAATTTTAAAATATATTATCCGAATTTTCAAAAACTGTCAATTCAGTACTGATGACACGTGCAAATTAAATATTTTGAGAGTGACAAAATTACCCTCAAAAATACTGTTCATCATCTTTTTCCATAAAAAAAATAAAACACTGTTCATGTGCATCATCTCCTCGTCATGAGTTTCAACCACTACCTCAAGACAGATTAGTTAAATATCCATAGTCACTGGATGTAGAGACAGATTTAGCTAAATATCCAGTCACTGGATGTAGACTATGTACTTGTAGTAGGTTGAAGGACAGAGAACGGATCTACCCCCCGCAGACTTGCCCCCAAAAAACGTCCCTCGAAACCTAGGCGCGACGCGTGTCATGACACACGTGCACTAGGATGACTCATGCGGTCTCTATTTCACGTTGTTTGTATCACGTCCGTCAATTCTTTCTCGCCCAAAAGGGTTTCTTCTCACATTCTGGGTATTCTTTCTCCTATTCTACTATGAACTGAAACCCTTGGCACCCCCTTTCGTAACCCACCCACCGGAGATAAACTCTTTCGAGTTCTGGCGGCCGATGTCGACGGCCATACAAACGGAGAGAGAGATACAAAAAAAAATTCAATGTAGATGATTTAATAGATACAAATACGGAATTAAACCCTCAACTCCACAAATACGGAATGGTGGTCGCAGGTCGCCACCTTAATCAGCACGCTTTGAGAATGGCCCCTAAATGTTCCTGCACTACCTTCCATGCCAAGTTCACATGGCGGTCCTCCGTAAGGGTTGCACCAACAGCGAACCTGATCATGTAAAAAATCCACCGCATGCGTCATGTATATGCGCCCAACCGAGTTGATCAACTCCAACAACTTATGGTTTGATCTCGTTTGCACATTCCAACTCCGACGATTGCCTGAGCGTCTCATCCTCAGGATCCTTCACCGGCGGCGGTAGCAATCGGAAGCATACCATCGTGAAATTCCTCAGCACCACAATCTCAAACCTCTTGTCCATGGTTACCTTCTCTTCGAAGTGCTTAGCCATTTTCACGTGGGTCCGAAGGAAATTTCTTAGGTTGGCCACACCATAGCCCCGAAGCACCATCCAAAGCTTCATGGCTCGGAATCAACGATTGAGGGTTATTTTCCAGTCTTTGTAGTCTATCACTTGCTTCGATTCAGTAGCTTTATTCCTCAAATACTCAGGACTGGTTGATAGTGCCTTAACAAGGGCGCTAGGGTCCTTGACCCAAAGGCAGCAGCAATCGAGAGTGGTGAAGAACCACTTGTGTGCATTGAGACTGAACGAGTTTGCATCCTCTACCCCATCGATAAAGTATCTGAACTTAGGACATATGCATGCACTTCCGGCGTATGCTGCATTGATGTGAACCCAAACTCCATACTCTTTGGCCACTGCACATAGAGGAGCAATTGGGTCGACGATGTAGTACTGACAGTAGCACAGAGGAATAATGGGATGAGCCCAGCTTGTATATCCGCTTGGATTGCAGACTGGAGACTCGGGGGCGCCCGAATGAGGTGGCCTTACTCGTTGCAATGGCACAGAAGTTGTTTGGAAAGAACTTACATTTTACAATGTTCGTATTGCCTGGCTGTATACATATTACAGACGGTGGCAAGAACCCTACATTCCAGAAGAAATTCAATATCACCCTCATCATAGGGCTTCAAGAACTCAAAGTCCACGTTTCTGGCAGCAGAACGTCTCTCTCTCATGCACGCACTCTCACGGATATTACAAACAAGAAAGCAAACGGCAATGCTTTATAGACAGACCATATTCTCAGAATATATCTTCTTTCTTTTTCTGGTTGTATTGCTCTGTTGGGTTCGACTCGAGAAGGTTCTTAGGGCTCCGACGACACGACATGGCCGCTACACAGCAAAGTGGGAGATAAAGCAATATCCTGAGCAAAGCTTCTGAAAGATTACCGCCAGGTAACATTACTTTGCTTGAGATCCCTTTGAAGATACATAGGGGATATTTGACTCATACTGCGATACCCAAATGCTAATGTAAGTTTGGTATAATAAGACTAAAGTAAGCAAGTGTTATATATGGGTTAGCAACTAAAAATAACATGGGCAGAGATCTGATCTTCTAACTCAAATTCATTGGGCAAATGCAGAAGCCGGCGACAAGTATCGCTCCGACTGCACCGCCATACGCAGAACCAGCTGCATCCCAAAACCCACCATATGCTTCCCTAGTGGCTTCTTACCCACAACCGCCAGCAACAGCCTACCCTGCGGCAGTTCCATACCCTTCGTATCCACCTAATACAGTAGTGTATCCGCTACTTACTTACCCTTTATTAATACCGGCATCCTCTCCTCCCAATCCATATACCCCCCCACCTTCGGCCTAGCCTTACCCCCCTCCACCAGGCATATTTCATTCATACAATTTAATTACCAATTCCTATTCTTTATCAAATATTCCAGTTTCTGTTTGTCTTTCACACCCTGCAGGCCCATATACTGGAATCTATCCCCCATCGCCTTATGAGAAGCAATTTTCTACCTGATTAAGTAGCACCACTATATGGTATAGTTCTTATATTTTCCCATGTAATTATTATTGAATGATCATGGATTGGAAGTTGTTTTGTCTGTGTTTAACATCAGGTTTTTCAGGGTAACAGTCTCTCTGTTTCTCTTCTAGAAATGATTCTCAATATGTTTTGCTGATGCATGTAAATTTCAATAAAAGATACTCACGTTCTGTATAATAATAGTGAAGATGAACACCATTACGCAGATGGTTTTCACTGTCCAACATGAGGTGGAAACCCTTGGTTCCCTATAAGAACAGATACTATCTTTTGCAAACTATGGATTTCATCATCCTTTTGGCACAGCTGCCGTTTCAGTCTTTCAATCTCTTCTTGATGGTAGTTGCGCTGATTTGAACCAGTTCTAGTCTTCAACTTGTTGATTGCTTCCTTACACATAACTACCTCCTGCTTCTTTCTGCTCTTCGACTTGTTGACTGCCTCCTTGCCCATATCCACCTGCTTCTTAGCCTCAGTTGTGCTCTCCGACTTGTTGACTGCTTCCTTACACATATCCACCTCCTTCTGCTTCTTTCTACTCCTCTTTCTTCTCTTCGACTTGTTGATTGCCTCCTTACCGATATCCACCTGCTTCTTAGCCTCAGTTGTGCTCTCCAACTTGCCGATTGCCTCCTTACCCATATCCACCTTCTGCTCCTTAGCCTCAGTTATGCTCTCCGACTTGTTGATTGCCTCCTCGCCCATATCCACCTTCTGCTTCTTAGCCTCAGTTATGCTCTCCTCCATTTGGAGTGATCTCTTATTTGGTTGAACAGATTGATCAATGATATTGTAACTGAACATGTTACAGACAAAGAAACTAGCAGTTACTCCAGTGCTCAGTTGAAGCAAGATGAGTTTCTGAGGCCGCCCAGATGAGTCCTAATAAAAGTGATAGCAAAATTACCATCAGTTCCTACTCCCAAAAATAGGGATGTGATTTCCTCTTTAATTTCCCCTTCTACTATCATGTCATTACTGGAGATGATATTCTATACATTAGTGGTCTGAAAGGAAGCATAAAGCACCATGGTAGAGACTAGTGGAATGTAATCTATATCTACATTAGAAAGAGGAAAGATGGGAGGCGTGGGATCCTCTCAATAACCATGGAGTTCATATGGGCCTCCTCTCATTTCTTACATATGTGGTTCCGTGTTTTTAAATTTACAAGTATTAAAAATATGGGAAGCCAATAAAAATCCTCCAAGAAAAATTGGCTGGGGTCTTGGGAGAGGTGAACTTCATATGGACCTAACCTTTGGCACTTTTTTTGCAAAACGTGGCCGCTCTGGGGTGCTCGCATGCTTGTCAGCCTGAGGTCCCTAGATGATATTAGAATTTTTTAACTACTATAGTTGTAAACAATGCTAAGGTAGATGTCTTTGGTAATATTCTTTTTAAGTAGGTCGGTTAGAATTGATGCATACCTCTCCTTTATTACCTTCAATTCTTTCAAATGCTTGATGTGCCGCTTGCGGATCCTTGAAAACGGCATATGCAAAATATTTTCGTCCTTTAGTTCTTGAAGTGAGCTGTCAATACAACTGTTAGCATGGTTTTCAACATCTAAGAGAATTACTAAAATGGGCTGGAAACTTTTGGACAATTTTGACATAGATTTCAATAAACCATCATATCGTGAATTCCAAACACCAGCATTATTCATCCCCTCTTGCCCCTACTTGAGGTCTTTAAAGAAAAATTAATTGTGTAAGAAGTATGAAACCTTAATATCAACTTCGAAGTCTTTGGGAAAGATTTTCTTTAATTCTTCCATTGACACTTCAACTGGTACCGTGTGAAGAAGCAGCTTCGCCATTTCAACTTTCAGTACCTATGATTTTGAAGAACATGATGCATTAGTAAAGCCTCCTGCATTGGTATATGGAATGAGGACATGTACCAAATTTCAGACTTACATCTCTACACGACAAGTCAATGACATCACCAAACCCCCGTTCTATCTTGGCAAGAACTAGTTTCATTGTATTTCGTGCACCATCTAAATATTTATGCTGAGCACACTTCTCTCTAACATCATTGCATGAACTTGACTGCAAATAAGCAAATCCAAAAACATTCAGACATCTGAAACAATATGAAATCTTTTGCCCTTTTATTTTGGGAAGAAAAACAGCATGAAATCATAATCACTTGTCTTGGTCATCATAGGCAATGTTAAAACGTTGGTATTGAGCAAATGATGTCTCCAAAGTTGAAATCAATTAAAGAACAGATGGAAGTGTTCATAAAATGTTCTGAAGTACTAAAGCAAAAATGGAATTACACTAAAGTGTCAATGAAGCTGAAATCGACTGGTCAACCAGGTAGCTAAATCCAGTTTCAGGATTGACCTAAGAATGAAATCATCATCATCATCATCATCATCATATAGGAAAAGGACATGCAAAATAGCACAATACATGACCAATAGCAAACATAAGGCCATGACTATGAATCATCATTAGAAAGTGAATTGATTGATAAAGTATTATTACCAAGACTTAAATGGTTTAGATTCATTTATACTAGTTGAACATACAAGTTAATATAAATGTAATGCCCAACATATCAAAAGATGTACTTACATCTGGTGAGACATGCTTATATCAGCCCCCATATTAGCAAAAATATTGCTGATGCAATTGATACAATGTTTCTTTCTATTTTTATTCCCTTATTTGAAAGGTAATAAAAATTATCAAATACTTAATCATTTTATACTTTATTGACAAGTGATAGACCACTATTGCTTTGGAGAGAAAAAATGTACCAGGAGACAGGTAGCAAAATGCAACAAAATAGAATATGCCGATGCTGCTGAGATATATTATTCAACTAATATATGCTTCTGCAACATGAACATATATTATTCCAGTAACTTATGCTTCTGTGACCCCATTTTGAGACCAGTTTACCAGTAAGAAGCAACCATTGACAAGTGACAGACTGCTCATAGATAATTAAGAGAACCGTGAATTAGAAACTGGAAATCAGGTGCATACATAGATGGAGGGATGATTTGTAGGTATATTGGGGGTGACCTCACCCAATCTAGGCAACTAATAGTCATATCAAACTACTTAATGGATTCAGAAATTGGCAAATTGGGGGCTGACCTCACCCAGACTAGGCAACTAATAGCCATGTCAAACTCATCGACTCTATGTTGCTTTGAAACTAGTAGAAGGTAATGATCATGCAGGAAGAGTCGCACCGAGTAAACCGAACCTTGCTGTGTTCATAAATCAATAGCCCAAAAAATTGAGGGACTTGAAAAGTAAGTTGGTTCTTCAAGTTTTTTGTAGCCCATGAGTGATGAACACTGCAAGGATCAAACCATTTACACAATAAGACCGCTTCCATTGAATAATCACTCATTGGTAGAAACCAAGTCATATGACTGAGTTTTATGGTTGATTTCAACCATGCTTGAGTTTACGCCCTGCTTGCATCAAGTGCTTCCTCCAAAGTGCTTATAGGGTCATCGGCAATAGTTAACCATTGAGCATGCGAATTATAAGAAAGATTATATAATTCTTTCCATGGTTTAACTCCTCTCTATAGGGGGGTTAAAAGAAAAAACTCCACTTTGTAGGCAAAATCAACATAAATTGCAAAACAAATTGTATTTCATAAAAATTACAAAAGAAAAGAAAAATAAAAAGGAAGTCACACCATGCAACATGAACAAGCTACCATTTCGAAGAAGGCTAGAGTTTCAAGTAAGACTCACATTGTGCATGTTACTAAGGTTTTTTCTCAACTGAAAGATGGTTTAGTTTGGTCAGGGCAGGGCCTACCGTTTTGAAGAAGCCTAGAGTTTCAACTAAAACCCCCATTGTACATGTTACTAAGGTTTTTTCTCGACTGAAAGATGGTTTGGTAAGGGCAGGACCTACCAACAAATTCAAAAGGATTTACAAAAGAAAAGGGGTTAAGTTCAGAAATCCCAACCATGTTGACCCTGTTGGGGAGAATTGGGATTTGCAAGGTTTTGATGGGAAAAAGAATCTGTCATCGTCTCCTATGGGGGAGTCTGGAAAAAATGGTTTGCTTGTGAAGGAGAGTGGTTGTGAAGGGCAAGTGGGGGAGATTGGGGTCAAGGTGGTGCCAAAGTGGGAAAGGATAGAGCAAGGTAGTTTTTGAAGAACTTTGGGTTTGTTCTTTTTGGGAGGGGAGACTTTTGCAAGAAAAGTTTTTGAAGAACTTGAGAGGAAAAGGAAGAGAGATTTATGAAATCTTCTGCAGGGGAAGGGGGAAATTTGGAATGAAGGAGGGCAACATGATTTATTTGATGGGGAAGATTGAATGTGCTTTTGGTGGAGTTTCTAGGTGTAGTATCCAGTGCTTGAAAGGAGGGTACTATGCCTACTATGCTTTCGTTGCTTGTTTCTCAAGATGTTCCAGTTGTAGTTTCTCCGGGTGCAATTCAGTTTTCTCTTTTCTATAATAAAATTTTCCTTTCACCTTTAAAAAAAAACCACTAATATGTTAAACAAGCATCAATCTGAAAACTGGTAGGCTAAATATTATTTCTCTCAAAAAAAAATATTTAGCATGAAATAGAAACAACAGAATACATATGATAACTGAGATAATTGATAGTAGAACACTCAAAAATCAAAACCAACTTGTACTTGGGGAAGTATTGCTTCAGAGGAGTTTCTGGTAGCAGGAGCATCCAAAGATTGAGATTCGAAAATTAAAGATGTATCAATTACTCTCGCATGATCAAATTTTAGTGCTGTAAAACAGAATGAGAAACATAAGGCTACAAACATGAATAATATAAAGTTAAGGCAGTGTAAATGCAGAAGAAAATGTAGGCATCTTAAAGAGAAATGGTAGTGAAAACAAATTTATGAGGTATACTCGTATATGAATGTGATCACTACCTTCTAGATAATAATTCAAACCATGGCCAATTAAAATAGCTCCATGCTTTAATAGCTTCTTCAGTGACTTCTGCATAAGACCAACTCTTTTCAGGAAAGGAAAGTGCAAGAAAAAGATGAACTCCATATAAATAGATGCCATATTACCTGTATATCAGCCAATGTACAAGTAGCTCCATCCAAATCCTTTGCAGAGATTCCAGTAACATGGGTTCTATAATCAGTAATAGCTTTGTTTGTCTTCACAAATTCATCAATTCTTACCTGGAATTTCACATATTTATACCAGGTGAAGATGGAAAAGAATATAATTGTCCTTTAACATAGACCAAAAGGTAAAATGAGCAAAACTTTTGGAAGCGAATATGTTGTATAAGAAATGATAGCATGGCTAATAAGTACCTCAAAATTGTGGTCTACAACACATACTTGCACTACCGCATCTGCACCATCCTCACAAAGAACCATCTCACAATCAATAGCATACATTGCATTTGACTCCACTATCTTTGAAATATTACCTAGCTTTGTAACCACCCACTCCTGCTTTGAGATTCCAACAAGTTAACAGGAAAGTAGATCATACGTGTCAAAGTCATCCATGTCAGATTTCATTGAAAGAAAAGGAAAAAAAAAAAAAAAAAAACTTCAGTTATAGATGTGCTCAATATATATATATATATATATATATATATTTATCAGTAACTGAAAAATTTTATTAAATAAGAGAAACATAAGTACAAGATATCAACTCAGTTCAAAGCAGAGAGGAAACACTAGAAAATGAAAGGGTGTATTCACTTGAATCACACACCCATAAAAGATTAACTTATATATGAAAATGTACATAGAAAGGACAGATTTGTCTTTCTCTTACAAAAAAGAATAAAACAAAAGAATAGTGTACATAAGTTACAACATAAAAGAGTGGTCCCAAGAGTCAAAAAAGGAAAGATGTAAGAGACATAAATCAGTCTCTACACCCCCCCCCCTCAAACTGATACCGAGGTACGAGCATCAGTTTGTCAACTAGAAACTGGTGGCGAGCATGAGTCATAGCCTTTAATAAGTCAGCAAGCTGTAAGGCAGAAGACATGAATGGCAAAGATATGTTTCCAGCAGGAAACTGATATCTAATGAAGTGGCAATCAACCTCTATATGCTTGGTTCACTCATGGAAAACAGGGTTGGATGCAATCTTGATAGCACTCACATTATCAGCATAAATAGGAACTAGAGATGACAACGAGATCCCAAGGTCATCAAGGAGGGCTCTTAGCCATATAATCTCACTGCAAACAGAGGACATAGCCCTATATTCAGCCTCAGTAGAGGACTTGGGAACAGTCGGTTGCTTTTTACACTTCTAGGATATGAGAGAGTCACCAAGAAAAACACACCAACCATTAGTGGAGTGTCTAGTATCTAGGCGTCCTATCCAATCAGCATCTGCATAGGCGGATAAGCCAAGAGAATAAGATGCAAGAAAGAAAATGCCATGTGAAAGACTTCCACGGATGTATCTGATAATACGAAGAACCGCTATCATGTGTAGTTGTCGAGGAGAAGAGACGAACTAACTGACCACCTGGACAGCATAAGAGATATCTCAACGTGTCACGATGAGGTAAATCAGGCTACCAACAAGCTCTCGATAAAGAGTAGTATCTGCTAGAGGGTCCCATCATCCTTTGAAAGTTTCAGATTCATCTCAAGAGATGTGTCAACCCATTTGTCATCACTCATCACTCGGGTTTGTAGATTTCACAAGACCCATTGCATATTTGTGCTGATTAACAAAATACCTGCGAGAAGAGTGAGTAACTTCTAGCCCCAAGAAAGAAGTGAGATGACCAAGGTCCTTCATCTTGAAGGACTGATTAAGAAGTTGTTTCAGAGAAAAAATGCCTTGACTGTCATCACCAGTGATAAGAATGCCATCCACGTACAAAAATAATAGTGTGATTCCTTGGGGACGTCTCAATATGAACAGTGAATCATCTGAGGGGCTCTGGATGAATCTTGCATCTATGATCACTGAACAAAATTTCTCAAACCATGCCCTGGGGGCTTGTTTAAGACCATACAAGGACTTTTTAAGTCGACATACCAAGGGAGAACCATCATAGTATCCTGGTGGAGGCTTCATATAAATAGTTTCCTTGAGGTCTCCGTGTAAGAAAGCATTTTTAACATCCATCTGATGAATCTCCCAATGTTTACATGCAGATATAGCCCAGCAATAAACGAGCAGTCTTAGCTATAAGGGAAAATGCGTCATTATAATCTATCCCATATTACTTATACCCTTGTCCCACCAAACGTGCCTTGTATCCATCAAGGCTTCTGTCAGAATTGAGTTTTCATAAATACACCCACTCGCTTCCAATTAGAGAGGCATCTGGAGGGGCAGTTACCATTCCCCAAGTATCATTATCAATAAGGGCTTAGAGCTCAGTATCCATGACTTCTTTCCAATGTGGGATAGCCATAGCCTTCCAGTGAGATGCAGGAATATCTGTGACAAACAAAACAACAAAAAAGGAGCTATGGTTTGAAGGAAATCTATAGCAATCAAGAGGGTGAGAAACACAAGATGAACGACGTAAAGGGGGATCGGAGGGTGGTTAGGGATCAAGGATAGGTGCAGGTGTACTTACAGGATCAAGAGAAGAAGAGGAACTCATGGCTAGGGTTGATGGATCAGCTTCTGGTGATGAAGGGGGCAAAGCAATAGGAGCCGGAGCAACTAGCCTTAGCCATGACTTCTTTCCAATGCGGGATAGCCATAGCCTTCCGGTGAGATGCAGGAATATCTGTGACAAACAAAACAACAGAAAAGGAGCTATGGTTTGAAGGAAATCTATAGCAATCAGGAGAGTGAGAAACACGAGATGAACGACATAAAGGGGGATCGAAGGGTGGTTAGGGATCAAGGATAGGTGCAGGTGTACTCACAAGATCAAGAGAAGAAGAGGAACTCATGGCTAGGGTTGATGGATCAGCTTCTGGTGATGAAGGGGGAAAAGCAATAGGAGTCGGAGCAACTAGCCTCTTCCTAGAATAGACATGGGGCAATTCTGGAATAGGAAGTGAATTAGAAGAACCAGTAGAATCAAAAGAGTACAGCATCAAAATGGAAGTAACATGCAACTTAAAAATGTGGTTAAAAAAGGAAATGTTTTCAAGAAAGATGGCATTGCGAGATACACGAACTCGACGAAACTAAGGATCATAGCAAAGGAAGCCCTTATGATTAGAGCTATACCCCACAAAAGCACACATTGTTGATTAGGGAATAAGCTTTGTGTACTCATGTGGCGGAAGGTGAACAAAACAGACACAACCAAATACATGAGGAATAGAAAAACCAGGTGAACGGTAATTCAGATCTTTTACTTCTTAAAGGAAAAGAATTTCTACAATGTTTGCTCAATTGACATGTCTGACACTGTAACTCACTAACTGACAAAGACTTAAATAGCTCAGGAAACATAAGTTTTAAAGACTCAAATAAAAGATGACCAAGACAATTATGCCATAAGTAGGCATGACTCTCACAGGCTCACTAGATGAACTTAAGGACTCTATAGCCACAAGACTGGTTTATTCTCCAACACGTAGAGACCATCCACCATGCTTCCTCTACCAATCGTCTTCCCCGAGGCCAAATCCTGAAACACACACAAAGAAGGAAAGGTCACTGAACAATTCAAGGAGTGAGTAATGCCTCTGCTCTAAATGCTTGTACTTGGTATATGTATATCTTTGCATAATGCCTCTGCTCTAAATAGGTAGATTTCGCTTGTTCCCATATTTCACAATCTGCTTCAGCCCACATAAACGTCTTCCTTACTTGTGGCAGTATGGAACACAAGAGCCATGACATCACCATACTATTTTCTTGGTTCCACCTGTCATGTTTAGCACTTCTAGTCTTTGGTTCCTTCACTTTACCATTAATATATCCTATTTTCCCCCTAGCAGTAATGTAAAGTTTAATTCCCTAGACCATTCAAGGTAGTTTAGTCCATCAAAGAGAATTACAGCCATGGGGAAACTCATATCCATTGCCCCACTCATTCCATTTTGACCTCCTAAAATCCCAGAAGTTACAGAATTCTTAGAGGACATGATTGAAACACTTTTCAGTTTCAACACACACCTTAAGATCTCTCCTGACACCCAAAAAGGTCTTAAAAACACACTAGAGATGCAGCCCACATGCACACATTCCGGTCTGGACACAACCTGAACATAGACTAGCTCCAATTATCCAAAAAAAAAATATTTTTTAGGTTGATTTCAGCGTTGCACAGGTTTAACAGTTGAGTCAGTCACAGTCCACCAATTTTCCAGTCATCTAAACACACCAACTACTAGAAGAGATCATAAAACAGTTGAGTCACACCAAGACAGGGTAAAAACAGGTCATTCATGACCTACAAGTATCCCATTCTCATGTATAGGATCACACGATCCACAGAAAAGAGGCCAGAACCTCACAATTCCTCTGACAGCATTCAGCAGTTTTGTTTCATAGGGTTTTTTCTTGGTACACGACCAAGAGAAAAGGAAAAAAAAAGGTAAAACAAACTTGTACCAGTCATAGGTCAACTTCATTGATCTCTGTTGAAGAAGACAGCAAGATAAAGAAGAAAGAACTTGTTCAATCTGCTCTCAGACCCAGTAGAACTGCTCTGATACCATATTAGCAGAAGAAAAGATGAGAAATAAGGAAGAAGAGAAGAGAGAGAGAGAGAGAGAGAGAGAGAAGAGAAAGGTTTGGAGAGTTCTAAATCAGTCTGGCAGCATCAGCTTATATTATTATATATAGGGTAACCATAATTACAAGGGAAAAGACCCTTATGCCCCTGCTGTAGTCAAAGTACATAAACAATGATTAAAAAAACTATTTTAACCAGACCAAACATACCCTAACTAAGTTAACTTAACAACTCATGTAATATTAGAAACTACTTCATGAAATCCCTCCCAAATGGACACCAATTAAGTCAACTTAACAACTTTATTAACTTAACATACCTATCTTAAATGAAATAAACTTAATTAACAAAATTAATACAAGTACATAGATAAAGAAATTTTTCATTAATGAAGCTAGTAAAAATATGAATGAATAAAATATTAATTTAAAATTCTTTGAAAAACAAATTAAAAATAGTAAGCATTAATAAAATTTAATTATTCATAAAAATAAAAAATTATAAATTTAAAATCAACAAAATTAACAAAAACAATATGAATTTATTTAACAATAATAAAAATAAACAAAATTCATTTTATTAATACATTATGGTATCTTGGTTCAATAATTCATAACAAGGGAGAGATTAAGGATCGAGAGGATGCCACCCAAAGAATTAGAACAAGTTGGGCACAATGGAGGGGTGCATTTGGACTTTTGTGTGAAGGCAAATATCATTTAGATTAAAAGGAAAATTCTATAGACAATTGTAAGACAAGCTATGTTGCATGGAGTAGAGTGTTCGGCAGTCAAGAAACAACATGTCCAAAAGAGGAGTGTTACAAAACTGCAAATGGTAAGATGGATGAGTGGAAAAGAAATAGAAAGGATAGGATTAGGAGTAGCTCCAATAGATTATAAAATGAGAGAGTATACTAAGATGATTCATACACATGCATAGAAGACCACCAACACCTCCAGTTAGAAAAAGTAATTTGTTACAAGTGGAAGGGACTAACAGTCCATTTAGTTCACGCGACCTGGATGAGAAAACAGGAATATTCACCGAATATTCCTATTTTCTCATGTCTGTTTTGAGAGACATGTTGCAATGCGATGTGAATAACATTCTCAAAATATGGGATACGGGGTCTCACCAAATAGGTGTGACCCCACTAAGAAACAAAAGTTGCGCGATGACAATGAGAAAATTTTGTCGAGGGGTGGACTGTTGTAATCTCCCACCTCTGCAATGGCCTGAACTCCGACCACCTGTATCCTTCATCTCTGGCGAAGTTTACGGCCTCCGGTAAGTACTTCCATCCCGTTTCACACCGTTAAGGTTATTTGGTATTTCATTCCACCGAAAAATATCATTCCCTTCCTCCCTCAACTTCGACTTCAGATCTCAGACGGCAAGGAGATTATGTCCCCGAATCATATGTGATCTGTCTCCCCTCCCACATTTTGCTCTCGATAACCAAATCGAAGTGCTCTTGTCGTCATCCATGAACTCGAAGCTCCGGAGATAAACCTCAGGTATTTTTTTCTTTTTTTTTTTTGCATTTTTCTGTTAAAGCTTCCTTGAGTAGAGTGTAGAGATAGCTTGCCATTCTCCCACCTTCCTTTGATTTCTTCTTCTAGATTAACTTTTGAACCTAGGGAACCAACTTTTGACATTTGTGTTTGATGGAATTGCTATGTTAACTATTACAAGTAGGCTATATCTTTAATATATAGGAGTTTTTAATTGTGTCATGTCAGCATGACACGTGGCTATGTTCATATATTATTTTGCCATCATCCCAAAAACAAGTCTTGTACTGTCAAAATGGAGATTACACGGATCATTCATTAATATGGAATGAATCCAACCATTCTACAAAATTTTCTCAGCAACCAAACACTAGGAAGCAGATTTTGTAGGATAAATGATCTCAACAACCAAACATAGGAGACAAGATTGAGAAAATAAATTTTCACTTCTCATCTCATCCTTTCCCATCCCATCTCATCCTTTCTCAGCAATCAAACGGACTGTAAAAGAGCTAGAGGTAGACTAAAAAGGACATGAATAGAAGTAGTAAGAAATGATTTAAGCACTAAATTTAATAACAGATATGGCTTTAAATAGAACAAATTGGCAAAATAGGATTCATGTAGCCAACCCCATATAGTTGGGATAAGGCATGAATGGTGATGATGATGATGATGATGATGAACAAATTAACAATCACTAAAAAATTATTAGTTATACAATTATTTTTAATTAAACTCTAAAAAATTAATAGAATTTAATAAATGTTAATAAAATTTAATATAGAGGTGCAACTTGAATTGTAGTTAGACTGGCTAGTCATAACCTAAAAAATAATGCATGAGTTGGATCATCTCCATTGGAAATGCCATTGGGTTCATCAGCTTCAATTTTGTTTTACAAAGCATGTGCATCAGACGGGTTCTGACTAGTAACATCTTAATTCTGAATAGTGTTGTTCGCCAAAAAAAATTTCTGAATAGTGTTAGAAGAACACCAGATAAGTTTTGAAGGACAATGACCATAAACAACATATTAGAAATATTCATCACCATCAGACTCGGATCCAATTTTTAGGTTCAATTTCTTTTGTTTCCTTGAAAGCCATGTTTCTCTCTGGTCTCTTTTATTTGAAATAAGAAAACACTAAGACAATGAAGAGTCCAAATATCATTTCATGTCTGAGTAACAATTATTTATTTCATGAAAGTATTTATAATGAGAGAGGATGAACCTTGGTGCAGCGATTGGGTTGCTTCATTGTGACCTGGGTGACCAAGGTTCAAATCTTGGAAACAACCTCTATCTGCAGAGGTAAGGCTGTGTACATTTGTCCCTCCCCAGACCCTGAGACACAGCATTGGCTGGACCCTCATGCACTGGGCTGCTCTTTTAAGTATTTATAATGACAAGAAATAGTTTAAGGAAATAAAATACAGAAATAGAATTTACATAAAAAAATGTGCTTAATAAACTAAACAAATAATAATGCAAAAAAAAAAGGAATAGTGATCAGTAAGGAGGAACAGACCTCATTATATGATGGAAAAAAGTAATTGAATGGATACAGTGGGTGTTGAAGAGTGAAACGAACCAGCCTCTAGTAAACAAAAATAAGCACATAATCAATAAAATGATAAACTTACATACCTAAGCAGTTTGTAACGAATGTTAAGAAAGTATAGCAGTAGGCAAAATTCCACAAATGAAGTGGAAACAAACACAATAAGTTTCTAACTTTATTTAATTCATCAATGAAAGTTACTGTTTCCTATCAAAAAATGGTTTCTAACCCGATCCCTATGCCATCTTATAGGAAGATTATTTGACCATCCACATAAATCAAAACTGACAAAATTTGGATGTGTAATGGCTATTGTTAAAATAGTTTATTTATGTTTCATTTATTATTTTTTGTTTGTTAGGGTCTCTTTGGTTGGTTCAAATTCTTTTTTATTTTTCTGTTATTGTACTTCACTTATATCAGGGGCATAAGGCTCTTTCTCCCTTTTTAATTTAGACGGCCTATAAATATCAATAGATGCTGGCGCCGCCAGCACAGTTCCATTGTCACCAATCTTACCTCTTCTCTTCTTTCTTCTCTTTTCCTTCTCTTCTCTTATCTCTTATTTTTCAATCGGCTTTATTGTCAAGATGGTGTCAGAGCAGGATTATTGACTGTGAGAGCAGATCGATCAAGTTTCTCTCTTCTTCAACTTGCTGAATCTGGGCAGAACAGAGAACTGAATCTGGGTTGATCAAAACTAACCTGCGACTGGTACAGCCCTATTTTTTTCCTTTCTTTTCTTTCCTTGGCCGTGTACCAAGAGTAAAAAACGAATGAATCTGATCTACTGAATGTCGTCAGACCCTTGTGAGGTTTATACCTCTTCTGTTTTGGATCGTGTGATCCTGTACCTGTGAAAAGGTGACTGTAGGTCACGGATGACCTGTTTTCTCTGTTGTTTGGATTGATTTCATATGTGTAAGGATCTCTCTTAATGATAAATGCTCGTAGACCTTCTAGAAAGTTAGTAGGCTGGGACTGTTAACCCATACAGGTCTGAAAAACAGTTTGATCGTACCTTTTTCTTCTGGAAAGTGGTGTTGTTCTTGTGCTCAAATAAAGTCCAAAACCGAAGTGTGTGCGGACTAGTCACTCGTGTGTGGAGCATTTTTTTCTTCTGATATAAGGAGAGATCCTAAGTTGAGTGTTGAGACTGAAATTCTGTTTTGACCATGTCCTCTGAGAATTCTGCTACTTCAAGGGTTTCAGGAAATCAAAATGGAGTGAGTGGGGGAATGGATATGAGCTTCCCCATGGCTGTTATTCCCTTCGACGGTCTAAACTACCTTGAATGGTCTAGGGGAATAAAACTCTACATCACGGCTAGGGGGAAAATATGATACATCAATGGGAAAGTGAAGGAACCAAAGAATGGAAGTGCTGAATGTGATAGGTGGAACCAAGAAAATAGTATGATGATGTCATGGCTCTTGGTATCCATGCTGCCACAGGTAAGAAAGACATTCATGTGGGCTGAAACTACGTGTGAAATATAGGAACAAGCAAAGTCCACATATTTAGAGCAAAGACACTATGCCAAGATATACCAACTGCAAGCTGAATCCTCTACTTGCAAACAAGGGGAGAGAAGTCTCTCGCTGTACTATTCAGATCTGACATCGATCTGGAAAGAACTGGATCACTATCAAAATGTGAATTGGAAGTGTGATGAAGATGCAAAGGCATACAAGTCACTCGTCTCTCAGCAACGGGTATTTTCTTTTCTCTTGGGGATGAATTCTTCATATGAGTCTATCAGGGTGCAAATCTTGGGAAGTAAAGACTTTGACATCAGTTCAGGAGGTTTATGCCCTAGTCCGGTCAAAAGAGAGTAGAAGAAGTGTGATGAATTGTACAAAGGGGGAGCCAATTGCCCTAGCTGTCCGAGGAAGTACAGATACTAATGTCGAAGGTTCCTTTAAGAAGGGTGATTCTTAGAAGAGAACAAATGACAAAAGTAAATTTTGGTGCACTCACTGCCATAAGACAAGACACACCAGAGACATATGTTGGGATTTCCATGGAAAACCTAAATGGACATAGGATTTGGGTAAGAAGTCAACAACTAATCAAGGTAAGAAACCAATTCAGTAGAATCAGAAAAAGTATAACTCAACTAATATGGTATCTCAAGAGACTAGCCCCATGGTAAATCAGGAAAGGCATCCCAGTTCTGACCCTAAGGAAGATATTATCAACTCCTTTCGTGACCATTTGGAGTTATATGGTAGGACTCTTCACCAGATGGATTTTGGTCCTACTCCTACCTCCTTTGCGTCTACATCAGGTAATATTGCCACTGCTTTCCATGTGTCATCTCATACATCTAATTCCCCTAGGGTAATTGACTCCGGAGCCTCAAACCACATGACCAGTAAGTCAAATTTATTTTAGGCAATATAACCTTCTCTCTAGGAGAGATAAGGTGGGACAAGCTGATGGTTCATTCTCTACCATAGCCGGCTAAGGAACCATATCTCTCCCACTCGGCCTTACCCTCTCTAATGTGTTGCATGTTCCTAAATTACCTATAAATTTGCTTTCCATTAGTAGTATTACTCACTCCTTGAATTGTTCAGTTACTTTCTTTCCATCTTCATGTTTTGGAGAATAAAGTTGGTCTCGTGGCTAGTCCTTGAGTTCATTCAATGAGGATCAAGCCTATTTATGGCACAGTCGTCTTGGTCATCTTTCTTTTGAGTCATTAAAAGTTATGTTTCCAAAGTTGTTTAAGTCTTTGTCAGTTAGTCAGTTGCAATGTCAGACATGTCAATTGAGTAAACATTGTAGAAGCTCTTTTCCTTTAAGAAATAAAAGATCTGAATTTCCATTTCATATTGTCTATTCTGATGTTTGGAGCCCTATTACTCTACCTACTGAGGTCGGATACAAGTACTTCATTACTTTGATTGATGATTACTCTAGATATACCTGGATTTACCCTATGCAATCTAGAGATGAAGTGCCTAAAATTGTGAAAGATTTTCAACGCATGGTGTTCACCCAGTTCCAAACTGAAATTCATATTTTCTAGTCAGACAATGCAAATGAATACTTCCATAATGATCTCACGGAACTCTTTGCTTCAAGTGGATCTCTTCAACGAAGCTCTTGTGCTAGGACACCTAAGAAAAACGGTGTTGCTGAAAGGAAGAATTGTCACCTTCTCGAAGTAGCTCGTGGCTTATAACTTCATATGAATGTTCCGAAACATTTTTGGATGGATGTTCTGTGTTCTGCATACATCATCAACCGTATGCCATCTCGATTACTAGAGTATAAGACCCCACATCAGCTTTTGTTTCCTTTAGCTCCATTGTCCCCCATTCCAATGCATGTTTTTGGGTGTCGTTGTTTGTTCATAACCTATCTCCTACTCGGGGTAAACTTGATCCTCGTTCTATTCCTTGTATTTTCCTTGGTTACCCTTTATCTCAAAAGGGGCATCGTTGCTATGATCCCACCTCTTGCAAGTACTATGTCTCCGTAGACGTATCCTTCTTTGAGAATCAACCTTTCTTCTCGAATTCTCCTCAGAGGGAGAGTAGGGTTGAGTTGAAACACACACAGGCTCAAACTCAACTTCCTCCTCTTCTTGATCCTCCTCCATTCCGTGTCTTTCTTCGTTGCCACAAAAGCCAGCAAAATTCAAGAACTGTGGAACCTAACACTATGCAACTAACACCATCGGATTCTCCGAAGATAGATCATTCTCATCCGCCAGGTACACTTGTTCCTATTGATATGCCTAAACCTTTCAATGTTGATTCCCCTATCATTGATGATCTTGATGTTCCCATTGCTAAGAGAAAGTGTGTTAGATCATGTACCACTAATCACCCTATCTCTCACTTTGTGTCCTATGACCATATTTCACCTTCATATCGTGCATATCTCTTGTCTGTTGATAGTATCCCTATTCCTAAGAAAGTAGTAGAAGTGTTACCAAAACCTAAATAGACAGATGCAATGAAGGAAGAAATTGATGCACTGCACAAAAATGGCACTTGGGAGTTGGCGGATCTTCCTAAAGGGAAGGAACCAGTGGGATGCAAGTGGGTATTCACAGTGAAACACAAGGCTAATGGAACTATTAAAAGATACAAGGCCAAACTGGTGGCGAAGGGTTTTACACAAGTATATGAAGTGGACTATGTAGAGACATTTGCTCTAGTAACTAAGATGAACTCTATCAAGATTCTTCTCTCATTAGCAACAAATCTTGATTGAGAATTTCACCAATTGGACATTAAGAATGCTTTCTTGAATGGTGACTTAGAAGAGGAAGTGTACATGACCCAACCTCCAGGTTTTTGTGCCAAAGGCAATAAACAGAAAGTGTGCGGGTTAAAAAAATCTTTATATGGGTTAAAACAATCACCTCGAGCATAGTTTAGTAAGTTCCACTTAGCAGTTCAATAGATGGGGTTCCAACAATGCCAGTCAAACCACACTCTGTTTGTGAAGAAAGGTGAAGGGAAAATTCCAACTTTAATATGTGGATGACATAGTGATAACAGGATACTGGGAGACTGAGATACAAAACCTGAAAAAATTCTTAGCCACTCAATTTAAGGTGAAAGATCTAGGACCCTTACGTTATTTCCTTGGAATTGAAGCTGCCCACGCTCAAAAGGGCATCTTTATTTCCCAACGGAAATATGTACTAGATCTTCTAGAAGATACAGGCAAGATAGGGGTGAAACCAATTGACTCACCAATTGAACCTAACCATCAGCTAGGGGGAGTTCTTGAAAGATGTGAAGAAGTTTCAGAAACTTGTAAAGAGACTCTTATATTTGTCTATGGCCAGACCTGATATTGCTTATGCAATGGGTGTCCTTAGTCAGTTCATGCACAACCCTAGGACAACTCACTTTGAAGCCACAGAGAGAATCCTTAGATACCTCAAGAAATATCCAAGAGCTAGTTTGTTGTTCCAGAAACATGGACATTTAAAGGTGAAAGTATATACTGATGTTGATTGGGTAGGGCAGTCGATGACTAAAAGTTTACCAATGGGTATTGTACCTTTGTAGGAGGTAACTTGGTCACTTTGAGGAGTAAGAAGCAAAGTCTGGTGGCTAGATCCAATGCTGAAGCAGAATACAAGGCTATGTCTCATGGAGTTGCTGAAATCATGTGGATAAGAAACCTATTAGGTGAATTGGGCTTTGTAGTCAACAACTCCATGTCACTCTATTGTGACAATAAAGCTGCCAACAATATTGCTACTGTCCTCCATGGTAGGACGAAACACATTGAAGTGGATAAGCATTTTATTAGAGAAAAACTTGTGAGTGGAAAAGTATGCACTTCATATGTCAGCTCAGAGGAACAACTTGCAGACATCTTCACCAAGGGTCTTCAGCATGTGAGGCATAATGTCTTGTGTGACAAGTTGGGCATGATTGACCTCTATGCTCCAACTTGAGGGGGAGTATTAAAATAGTCTATTTTATGTTTCATTTATTATTTTCTATTTGTTAGGGTCTGTTTGGTTGGTTTAAATTCTTTTTTATTTTTTGTTATTGTACTTCACTTATAGCAGGGGCATAAGGGTCTTCCACCCTTTTTAATTTAGACGCCCTATAAATACCAATACATGTTGGCACTGCCAACACGGTTCCATTGTCGCCAATCTTACCTCTTCTCTTCTTTCTTCTTCTCTTCTTTCTTCTTCTCTTCTCTTATTTTTCAATGAGCTTTATTGTCAAGATGTAGGAAGCATTAATGTGACCTTTTTGTCCTCCATCAAAAGGAAAAAATAAAAAACAAATGCCTTTTAGAATTAGAGGTTCCAGTGGAAATAGTTTGGCATTATTTTCAGGGTCTATTGATCAAGAAAACTTCGTACAAGCAGACACTATAGCAATTGTGCTAGGACTTAGGGTGGTTAAAACATGCAACCTTCAAAATCTGGTATTGGAATGGGATAGGGCTGTCAATGGTTTGGGTCTACCTGACAGAACCAAACTGACTAAACCAATTATGTCGGTTCTGGTTCTGTAGTTTTGTCTCAATAAATAATTGGGTTGGGTCCAGTTCTTGTTGTTCCAAACTGATTAAGACCTGAACCAAGTATATAATTAATAGTATATAAAGGTCTCCTGGTAAATTTCATAGAGTATATAACACAGTTTAGTTAAAAACAATTGTTTTACCAATATATAAACAGCAATGTTTTAAAACGCGGAGGCGTGATGCAATGCGTAGTTCAGAACATAAGAGGCATAAGCCTCGCAAACACAAGGAGGTGTAAGCCTCCTTAAGAAAAGGGAGGGATGAGGAAGAAGAAGAGGCAGAAGAGTCTCATTTCTTCCCTTCCCTTTCTTTTCCTTTCCTTTCCTTTTTTCCTTTTTCTTTCTTTTTTCTTTTTTTCTGTCATTTTACATGAGGTGTGCATGAGGCGCATGAGGCGTACGCCTCTAGCATGCTTCATGAAAAAAGCGTGTGAGGCATACGCCTCAGAGGTGTCAGCACCTCTGGCATACGCCTCAGGGCGTTTTGGGGGCGCCTCTAGGCGAGCCTCCCACGCCTTTTAAAACACTGATAAACAGTACTATTTTATTGTCATTTCTATTAATGTTATATAATCAAAAATAAAGTTTTAAGTTGTTATTATCATAACTAATTATAGATGTCAAGCTTAATTGGGCCTGATCCAATTATCCCCGATTAACAATTGGTTCTGGTTCTGAGTCCAACTTATGGAACTGATTAATAATCAGTTCCGGGACTGGTACACCCTGTCCCAAACCAAACCCAACCCATTGACAGTTCTAGGAAGGGATTCTAAAGTAGTGGTGCAATGGCTGTAGAACCAAAATTTGACTCCATGGCCATATAGAAACACAACGTAGGAAATTAAGCTACTAATGAGGGACAAGGTAGTGGATGTGCAATGTATTTACAGATCAACAAATGGATTTGCTGACATACTGGCAAAACAAGGGGTTGGTAGAAATCATTCTTACTGGGGTATGCTGGGGGAGCTTATTTTAACAGAACGAATACAATGAATGTGACTCGATATGGGTAGGGAAACTTTTTCTCTTTTTAGGTGATGCCCAGTGTCATTGTATATATTCCGATTATTTTTCATCATTCTTTAATAAAGGTGTGGTTATCCTTCAAAAAGTTAAAATAAAAAGCAAGTGTCCTTCATTGTTACTTAATGAAGTTCTAAAAAATATTTGTTACTCAATAAAGTTTTATGGGAAAAATGTCATTCATTGTGTACATTAGCTGTTCAATTATGTTTAATACGAAAAGAGAAAATTTAAAAAAAAAAAATCACATAGAAGTGTCCTTCAAAAATCCATAGTGTCATAGTTTGACGCATGCCCAACACAAACACTTAGCCATTTAGGAGAGTCCATGCAACACTGAATGGAGATCTATTGGATAAAATCCTGGGGAAGGTTGTATAGGAAGACTATCATGCAATCTATCATATGGAGAGTTATGTTACCTAGATATGGCAATGACATAGTTGGGCAATATTTCAGATACAGAATTTGCACTAAAAATTGAAGTATCCAACTCCAAATATTGGGAAAAAGAAAAGAAAAAGATTTTAACCCAGATACTGCAAGCTGCAGTTATAGATCTCCATTAACCACTAATTATGAAGTTCTATCTAATCCATACCTGCTGAAGGGATTCAAGATTTGGAGAGATCCTAAGAAGATCTTCCATTATTTTACGGTTAGAAAGACATCGATATGTTCTGGCCAAAATCTGCAAAAAAAGAAAGAAGCCAATAGTGACATATTTGATAGTGAATAAAACCTTAAATGGAGAAAAGATGCTTACCTTTAGATCTTCCTCTTCTGTAAATGTCTTTAGAAAGGTTGCCAATACATCAACTGGCATATGTTTAGGATGATTCCATCTAGAGCGACGCTTTTTATCATTATGATTATGACAACGCAAGAATTCGCACCAGTCTCCTTTGGCACCCTTCATTTTTAGCCTTTTTGTCAAGTTCACCATTCCAATAAGTACCTGACCAAATTAACGTGTCAACATAATGGAAAACCCAAAGAGTGTGGCATTTTACGATATATGCTGACGACACGGAAACAGACATCTGGAAAAATAACGCCAGGCCACACCAGTAGAAAAATCCAGCTGATAAGAAGAAACAAACAGTTTTATGTTTCTTAGGGAGCCAGTTATTTAGCAACAGACTAATCATAGTTCAAATTTACATGTAAGAACATAGCAAATGGCTAGCGTTTAAACATGGTTTGATGCCCATGGAACTACATTGATGTTCAACCCCGTTTCTATGCATCCAAAGATAAAGGGAAAATGGAAAAAAAAAAAAAAAGGAAACTTTAATTTTTGTTGGCCCTAACACTTATGAGACTGAAGTGAACTCCCAGGTGGAAGTCATTTCTGGCCAGACTGATTCCAGAAAATCCACATGAAATACGCACTCTGAACCTCCAACCTCCGAAACAATAAATTCTCTTTGGACACACTCCATATACGCTGATTAATAAAATCAATTAATACTCAGCAACACAAAAATATATCAGCAGAAAGAAAAAGGGAGAGATGAAACAATATGGAGGCAGGAAAGGAGTACCTTCTTATTCGCGGTTTCGATCTTTGCATCCATCTGCGAAGGAAGAAGATGGATTGGAGACCGGAAATAAAGCGGAAGGGAGTGTAGGAAGCAGGTACTCCAAAAACAGTCGTTTGGACTTTGGAGGTTGGACTTAGCGGCCGCTCGTTTGTAAATGTTCGAACTTCCAACGCCAAACCAGATATATGCTTACAACGGATTAGGTTTAATTGGTACGCCATTGGGGTCGGATAGGGGAAGGTTTTGGATTTCCTAAATGCAACAACCAATAAGTTGACATAGGGATAATCATTTCAGCTAGACCTGTTTATGGGCCGGGCCGGGCTTTGACTCTTTATTAATAGAAAATTGTTAGGCCCGAGCCCGAGTTCGGCCCGACCAACGGGCCTATAACTTGGGCCCGAGCCTGGCCCTAATAAAAAGCCCGAAGCCCGAGCCCGAGCCCGAAGCCCGAAGCCCGACCTAATAAAAGAAATTCAAAATTTTCCGACATTTTATATTTTAATTTAAATGTTTTTCCCCTATTTAAATGAACAATGGGCCTACAAGTGAATCAATGACCTCAAATTAAAAAATTTATTCAAATAGACATCACATAGGGTTTTTACTTAGGTTTAACTATAGGTCGAGCCGGGTTTACTTAAGTTTAACTATAGGTCAGGCTGGGCCGGGCTCGGGCCGGGCTATTTTGGCAAAGCCCGAGCCCAACTCAAATTTTATGCGGGCCGGGCTTTTTGGCCCGAGGTTAAGCCCGCGGGCCAAAAAGCCTGTTTAAGCCCGTCCGGGGGTCGGGCCGGGCCAAGATGGCCCGTCGGGTCACCCGGCCCATGAATAGGTCTAATTTCAGCCCGGTCGGAAATTTCGGGCTTGGGCTTGTGCCTGCATTTTGTGTTCAGGCCCGGCCCGGGCCCTGACCCACATGAGGCCCATAAATTTTTACCAGTTGTTGTTTTGGTAATGGTCCTATAGGCCCATAGTACACTACATAGTTCATTCACCCACAATCCTTTGGCTCGAGATAACCGAGCCTTGAGTTCTCGTAGTATTACCCTATTGGTGAGTTCGGCTTGCCCATTGGCTTGGGGATGCGCTATCGATGTGAATCTCTGCCTTATTCCAATTTGATCGGACCAATCTTGAAACTTAATGTCTTCGAATTGTTTTCTGTTGTCAGAGACTAATACTCTTGGTAGGCCAAACCTACACACTACATTTTGCTAGAAAAAATTTTGAACGTTGCGAGTTGTTATTGTCACCAAGGGTTATGCTACCACCAACTTAGTGAAGTAATCTACAACTACCACCAAAAACTTTTTTTGTCCCTTGGTCGGTGGGAAGAGACCCAATAGATCTATGCCCCATTGCGCAAATGGCTATGGGCTGGTCAAGTATCTTAGGTCGGCAGCGGGTTGATGTAGGATGTTTGCATGTTATTGGCACTAATCGCACCGCTAGACCAGCTCAGTTGCGTCTACTTTCATGGTGGGCCAGTAGTATCCTTGTCACAAGGCTTTTTGGGTGAAGGCCCTGCTCCCTAGGTGTCCTCCATAGAGGCCTTCATGGATCTCACGTAGAACCTGGTTTGCCTCAACTTGTCTTAGGCATCGTAAGTAGGGCATCGTGAAGGATCTCCTGTAGAGCAACTCGCCTACTATCACGTAGTGGGCTGCTTGTCGCTCTATTTGCCGAGCTGCATTTCTTTCTTTTGGTAGCGTGATGTGTTTCAACTAATCGTAGAGTGGGTCAATCCAGCTTGACTCGGCGGTAGTGATGTTGGCGACCTCCTCTCTTGCTTTTTCTATCGAAGGTCGTGGTAATTCTTCTATGTAGATGGTTCGTTTTATCGAGTCAATCATGCTCTCTAATTTGGAGAGGGCATCAGCCTCCGTGTTTTATGATCTCGGAATTTGTTGGAGATACCATGATTCAAAAACCGGTAGGAGTCCTTTAACTTTGGTGAGATACGCCGTCATGGAGGAGTCCCGAGCCTCATAGTTTCCATTTACCTGGTTTACGAGGAGCTGTAAATCGCTGCATATGACAAAGTGTTTGGCTCCTACTTCCTTTGCTAATGCAAATCCTGCTAATAGGGCCTCATATTCAGCTTTGTTGTTTGATGCTCAAAATAGAAATTGGAACGCGTATTCCAGCTTTGTTCCGCAAGGTCCGTATAGTATTAACCCAGCTCTGCTTCCACCTCGGTGAGTCGAGCCATCTACATGAAGTATCCAGGGCTCATCCCAGCTCGCTATCTCGCAAGGTGGGGGTGCCGTGCTGGATAAAACTTCTATTGCTAGCACCATCTACCTGGGCGACAACGAGCTGAAGGTCCACTCGGCAATGGAATCTGCCAAGACCTGCGCTTTAATTGTTGTGCACAGCTCAAACCGAATTTCATATTCACTGAGCTCGATTGCCCATTTGGTGAGTCTTCCCGAGATCCCTGGTTTCAAGAGAATTTGCCTCAGCGGCTGATCTATTAGCACCACTATGGAGTGCGCCTACAAGTAGGGTCTTAGTTTCTGGGAGGCTAATGCCAAGGCGAAAGCAAGCTCCTCAATGTTTGGATACCTTATTTCGGCGGCATGAAGTATTTTGCTAACATAGTATACTGGTAATTGTGTTTTGTCTACCTCTTTGACAAGGACTGAGATTACCACTTCATTACTTGCAGAGAGATAGAGTTTGAGCTCATTTCCCACCTCCGACCTGGTTACCAGAGAGGGCGAGTTGAGGTATTACTTTAGTTCGTCGAAGGCGAGTTGGCGTTCCTCGGTCCACTCAAAGGTCTCGTTCTTTTTTATGGCCTTGAAGAAGGGAAGACACTTCCCAACCGATTTGGACATAAACCGATTCAAGTCCGCTATTTGTCCTGTTAATCTTTGGGTTTCATTAACCATCTTTGGTGGTCTCATGTCTAAGATCGCTTGGATTTTTTCCAGGTTAGCCTCTATACCTCGCTGGCTGACGATGTAGCCAGGAACTTTCCTGAGGTCACACCAAAAGCACACTTGTTTGGGTTTAATTTTAGGTTATGTTTTCGTAAAACTTCTAATACAAGATCTAAATAAAAAACTAATTCTTTTGAAAATAGAGTTTTTACAACCATGTCATCAACATAGCACTCAACTTTATTGCCAATTAACTCCGAGAAAACAAAATTCACTAATCTCTGGTAGGTCGCTCCAGTATTTTTTAAACCGAATGGTATGACCTTATAACCATATAGATCTGTCTTGATGGTAAGTGTAGTCTTCTCTCGATCTTCAGGGTCCATCAGAATCTAGTTGTAACCTGAATAGTCATCCATAAAGCTGAGCAGTTCAAATCCTGAGGTCACGTCTACCAAGCAATCTATGTTGGGTAGGGGGAGGCTGTCTTTTGGGCAGACACGGTTTAAGTTCAAGAAATCTATACATATCCGCCATTTGTCGTTTGCTTTTTTTCACTAAAACTAGGTTCACCACCCAGCTCGGGTACTGGACTTCGTCTATGAAGTTCACAGCTAAAAGCTTCCCCACTTTTTCATTTACTTTGTTCCACCTTTCCGGGGCAAGGTTTCTCTTCCTTTGCCGGATTGGTCTAACTGTAGGGTCCACATTAAGTTTATGAGTTATAATATCGAGGTCTATACCAGGCATTTCAGTAGATGGCCAGGCGAAAACATCTAGATTTTTTAATAAAAAGTTTACCAATTCAGATTACAGAGGATCTTTCAAGTGGGTGAAGGGATGAGAGATCCATCATATGGATGGCCGAACCCATATGGATGGCCGAACCATGCAGGGTAGGGAGAAGAATACCTGATACGGAATCCACGCAAAAAGCTTCTGCCAACGTAGGTGTTCACACCCAAAGAGGGTACCAAATCCTTTCTACACTAAAGATGACACAGTTTAGGGTGAGGTAGGATCAACAAGTGGATTCTTCAGCAAGAACCCCAATTCTTCAGCAAGAATTGTGTAGGGATGTGAGTACAACTTCAAAATTGTTTATTCCACCAAGAAACAATATCAAGATCCAATCTTGATCACTCAAAGAGGTGGAGATCGAACAAAGTAGGGTGGCAAGAACAGAGAGAGAGAGAACTAAATGCAGAAAAGTCAGTCAAATTGTATGTATCATTCCAATTCGCCCTCCTCCTTTATATAGACCTTAAAGAGTTAATCTCCTAATATGATTAGGAGTTTCTTGATCCAAATCTTTATTTAGATCTGGACTCTTTAAGTGATAAGGCTTATCCCTTATCTTATCTGCAAATTACGATCAACTTCTCCTAATCTAATTAGAAGTTTCCTAATTCAAATCTTTATTTCGATTTGGGCTCTTTAAGTGAATAAGATTTATCCTCTTATCCTTATCTGCTGATCCACACCCAAATTCGCCACCTATTTAATTAATCCAATTAACCCAATTCAAAATGGGCTTTAGGCCCATCAAGATTTTAGGCTCACTTCCTTTTAATGTTGACTAGGTTGGCTCTCTTTGTATGGCGTGGGACCCTATCATTGATCTCCACATAAGCAACATGGGTTCAGCCTAGCCTCTGTTACAAGACTTAACCGAATTCACTATTGAATAAAGTGAACCCCTGAGTTCATCAGTATGAGCTCTTAATGGGCCCAACATTTACACTAAATGGTCCTTGAGTCCAGCCATCTTATGAAGGCCAAAGGACTGTGGGCAGATGTGAGATTAGCCCATCAGGTTTATTATCCCTAAATGGTCTTACACTTAACCTCTCAGCCCATAATGATCAAGCACTACTCAACAAGAGAGGATCTCTCTCTCGGCTACAAGGTACAGTGTTGCACTCTATACTCACATAGATTCTAGGAATTAAAACATTTTGCAAACAATTTGTGAAACCGTAATATATAAGTATATCTCTATATAAATATATTTTGCAAAACAAATTTCAACAAGTTTGAAATCAACTGTCGGTAGTTTAGGTTTCCATCAGAGAGAGTGCATTCCCTAATCATTCACTTTGTTCGACAAAGGGGCTGATCTTGTCACTATGATCACCCACTCAGGTGAATTCTCAGACTGTCCCAACATACCTAGGTTTTGCCCCCCTCTAAGGATCTCACTGATTGGCATATCAAAGACAGCCCAATCTGACACCTAGTGCAGTATCGTAATCGAGTATAGGGGTCAGGTGTAACATTCCAGTTTTTTCCATCTATCTCCAAGGTCTAGGGCAATATT